TATTGTTACAAGTCATAGAACCTTATTTGGTACTACACAGAACCTTTCTGTATAAATAGTCTCTCCAGCCACATTTAGGCAGCGTATTCTTTAAAATGGGGCTGAACGATTTTTAAATGCAATTTTTTTCAATAAACTGAGCTTGAGGATTTTTTCCCCCTCATGAATACCAGCACCTTCATTTTTTGGGCTTGAATGCTGGGCATAGTGTGTCACACTGCCAGTTCATAAGCTCTGTTATTAAGTTATTTACTTACAACTTCAGCTATTGTTAAATCATGTAGGATATGCAGCTGTTGTGATTTGAAAATCGCTCTCTATCAAATTGCGATTTCAATACAAAAATGATTATTATTTCAGCCCTACTTTAAAATAAAATTGAGCCAAAAAGGATCGAATAACCTGTGATTTCATTACACATTTTTCCTAAAAATGTGTAATCCAATCGAATACTAGCATTGCATCACCATGAAAAGGAAAGCCATTCAGGACAAGAAAACAAACAAGCTCACACAAATGACCAAAACTAAAATGGAAAAAGAAACAGGAGACCGCTCACAACACACTGTATAAAATGAAAAAACAGCAAAAGCGGCATTGCATCTCTGGCACGAATGGAGGAGTGCAGTGGAAATGCAGTCCTTATCTGAGAGTTAAGTCAACATCAGGGCTGCAAAATGGTTTCACTGCCAAGAAACCAAGACAAGTTTGCTTCTTTAGTTTTGCACTGAAGCTACGAGGCCAATGTAGCTAACAAGTAATGAAAGCTGACACACTAGCAAATAGCACTGTGCTAACTGCACGTCTACATCATTTCACACTTTCCACACGGGTAGAATTCCCCTGACTTTTCAAAATTCTCTGTATGATTAAATGATCATTTAGAGCCAGAATTGTTCACAGTGGTGGTGATAGGAACCAGACATCCATCCCTAAAAGCTCCCTCACAGAAAGTTATTACATGAAATAGTTATGAATTCACTGCCTGAGGAGACATTGATTTACGATTGTTTTGAGATTAAAATGTATTTTTTAAACACATTCAAGGTGGACGGATACATGTGAGCCAAAATAGTCCCCAAAGAAAACCTAATATTTCAGATTTTCCACTATTTTTCCATCCTCAACATTCCACATAAAACTCAGAAGACATGTGTATGTTCACTGGTGGTTTTGGATAGTAAATAAAATGGCTATAATTGTGTATAGTTGTGTGTAGTCATGGCGACCCCTGGTTCCTATCACCACCACTGTAAAGATGTAAAAATTACTTTATTTTTCAGTGATTGAATTATGCTGATATTTTGGAAAAACAGTGGAATTTCCCTTTAAGGAAGCTCTAATAGGTTTGACTAACATGAAATAAAGTACCTCAGAGCCTAAATTTTGACTGTACTTTTGTCCATTACAGGTACACCAGCCTCACAGCCCTCAGCAAAAGTTTGCTTTATTCGTTTTTACAGTTTCCCGCCTGACCATCAAATTTGATTTTTCACTGAACTGTCACTTTAATGATGCCTTTAGGAAAGTGGAGCCGGATATCATCAAATTAAACTTATACACAACATCCTGCTCTTAGCTCAGTGGATCCTCCACTAATCATGAGTCTTTCACTCTAGCGGAGGAGCGACGGATGTGCATTTACTCTGAATGAAAGTTTACCTCCCTCTAAAGGCTCATACACCTGCACAGATGTTATTCAGGATACGACACGAAGGTCTGCACGGGCCTGATTATTAATACCCGTACCCGCCCGATTCAACCACTAATCATGTCCGCAAAATCTAGTGTGATACCCGCCCACTCCCGCCCGTGAAACCTAGCATCATTTTTGCCCACACCCACCCGCTCCAAACACACGCCATGCCCAGCCGCAGCCGCCTACTTTGGGCTAGGCATGTGGTCCTCATCAACTCCCGCCTGCGTTTGCTGTAATGTCAGTGCAAACCTTGTGACGTGGTGGAGCCTCCAGACCCATTGCAGCGCCGCACACCCAGCAGCACAAATAAACGCTTCAGTGTTGCAAAACAAAAGTAAATACTTCATGTATTTTAATAATTATTGTGCTGTATTCTGTTCCGTAATAATGCTCTCATTTTGTCTTGGGTTATAAATCCAACGCACCCTTTTCCCCCCTCCCTAAAAGCCAAAACTCACTCATTTATTTTGGTCTAATTTACTTGTTTATATGTTTAGTAGCTCTCAGTAGGCTGTAGAAGTGCATTACAACATAGCTGATCTTATTTATTGTTATTTTATTTATTCTTTAACTGTTATTTTTATACTATTTAGCATATACACATATATAAATATACACTATGTAGCACCCAAAAGGGTTCTTCTGTTGTGAATATGTCAAGCTTGTAACAACGGAAGAACACTTTTGGTTCTACTAGGCTAAAAGTCTGTGATGTTTCCAAAGCCAATAAGTAATCATGTTTAAAATTTGTGATTTCAATAATAATCCATAATCGAGCAGCCCTAGGATACAGAGGCACCTCAGTTCATGTGACAGGCCTGCGAGCCTTCATTCAACAACATCTGTTACAACCAAACTACTCTGTTTAATCACAACACCATCAATCGTCACCAAACCACATAATCAAGTCTAGAGATTAGAGATTACTAGACTCCACACGGATTGAGGTAAATGTGTGATGATTTAGGCCTGCAGTTAGCACCATGCTAATTATTGGGGTATAAGCTTCCATTACATGTTAGCTACATTAGCCTCATAGCTCCAGTGCTAAAACTAAAAGATGCAAACTTAAGATATCAAACATGTATAAGATGAATGACTACATTTGGAGTAATGGGGGAAACTGTTCAGTTGAATCATCACTTCATGTGCTACATTTTTCTTTTTTTGTGTTTTATTCATTTTTACCCCTGATGTCCACTTATAACACATATGTACGTTTATCAAAAACAGTCATAATTGATTTTTTCATTAGTATCTGCTACCTTATTTTTATTCTTTACAATATAACATACTGGTTTTGTTGTAGTGCTTTTAAAAGTGGAATTCCACCCATTTTTCAAACTTTCTGCACAATTCAATCATTGAAAAGTGAACGGTTTCATTCAGAGTGGTTTGGTGTGAAATGGTTCAGATGTCTTTACAGTGGTGGTGATAAGAACCAGGGGTCACCATTACTACAACACAAATACAGCAATTTATTTACTATCAGAAACCACCAGTGAACATACATGTGTCTTCTGAGTTTTATATTGAATGTTGATGATGGTAAAATAATGGAAAATCTGAAATAAGTATTATTTTGCAACACTATGCATTGACCTCTCCACCATGAAGACCAAAACTATCGTAAAACAGTGTCTCAGACGTCAGGCAGTGTATTCCTAACCATTTCACACAATAACTCTCTGTGAGGGAGCTTTTACAGGTGGACATCTGGTTCCTATCACCACCAAAGTGAACAATTCTGACTAGGTTTCTCTAGAATGGAGCATTTCACACCAAACCACTCTGAATGACTCCAATTTAATTATACCGAGATATGTAAGTGGGCTCTGTTCTGATTGGCTGCCCTGTACCGCTCCTCATTCAAAAAGCAGCCGAGCTAAAACATTCCTTATACCCTCAGGGTGAAAGGGCAGGGCTTAACTACAGGCGGTAAGTAAACGTCGTGCTTTTTGTGACATCACAAAAACAATTAATTCAAAACAGGGCTTCGGAGCGTATGGACTAGTGAGTAAGTGGCACACTTGGAGACTTTAACCACATTTACATAATACACCAAACTCTTATTTTTAAAGGAAAGCGGGGAAAATAGGATCTGGCATTTTATGGGCCCTTCAATGAGCAGCAGTAAGGTGATCGCACTGTGTAAGGCCTTTGGCTGTGCTGCTCTGTGCGCCCCTGTGCACCGCCGGTGGTGGCTGGAGTTGCAGCTGTCAGCAACTCCACGTGTTCTCCGCCTGCAATCTGATCAGACAGGCTTGGGAGGGAGGCTGTGTTTGATGGGTGGGGGGGAGGGGAGCCTCGCGTTCTGGCTTCATCAGCAAGTCTGTCCTGATAGATCCAAACGATCAGGCCCATGTCAATAGATATTAAAGCTTGTTTATTTCCCATGGCAGGAGTTTGCCATGGTGTTCGAATTAAAGGGCCTTATTTGGTCACCTCAGGTCAAACGGGGTCCACTCCACAGTCTTCCCGTCCATAATAACATGTTTAACATGACGATGGTGAGGGTTTGCTTGTTGTGGGCAAACAGTAGGATTATCTAGAAGATCTAGAAAGAGACTGCGTAGAGAGCCAATGACCTGAGGAAGGCTACGAGGGGGTATTTGTGACACTGGACTTATTTACAGCCTGGCAGGCAGGACCATATGTCTGACAGCCACAAACTTGGAGCTGAGGTTGCAGAAAGAGCTTTAAATGACAAGGTGCAAGGAAAAAAATTAGGTGAAAATGCTACAGCAGTAGGTGCTTGGACCCCTAAAATGTATAATATCTGGCTAACAAACTCAAAAGATGAGCTGATCGAGAGTCCAGATGTAACATAATATAATATAAACCACACTATACTGTCACTCATGTCTCCTTTTCTGGACATATATGAATAAACAGCATATTTGTAAACAGTTACAAGACACAGTAGCACTCCAAACACTTATTTAACACACCAGCATAATAACTAAATCTCATAAACATTAATTTAATTTGTTTTTCTGTGTCACTTTTTTGCTTGCTTATCTAAACTTTAGCTTCTTATTCGAATTTTCCGTTCCACCTTAAACAGTGCAGCAGTTGCATTGTGGCGCCTCAGGCGTCAGAATGTAACTGCTGCACCATTTAAGGTGGAACGGGAAAATTCGAACAACAAGCTGGCGAATAGGAAGCCAACTCGTAGAAAAACACCCACAAACAAGCTCACGAGGCCAATAAACTACTTTTGGCTGACCCAAAGGTGGACTTTAAGTGTTATTAGCTGGAAAAATGAAGTTTAACGGGTGAACTTAAAGGCAGTATGTACCAGTCTGAGTGCTGGGAGGACATGTGCTGCTGCTCTTCCTCGTCCACGGGTTCACTTTGGGCGGCGGAGCCTCCAGCACTTTCGCCTTGCCGTTCTCTCCTTCCTTCGTGTCCTTGCTCGTCGTGCTCGGCTCGTTTTCTTTCTCCGCCGTGTTGTTTTGTTCTTCTCCGCCGACTTTGGCAGGTTTCTCTTGCGGGAGCTCGACTTTGGCTCCGGGGTCGTCTTTACTGTTGTCTCTGTTTTGGTCGCCGTCCCTCACGGCCGAGTCGACGGTGGACATAGCTAGTGGCTGCTGGTGGTGGGACTCGAAAAAGCACACAAACAGGCAGACAGTGCTTTAGGAGAACAACAACAGAGCCAAAAGGTCCCTAGAAAAACTGACAGCAGCTCCTGAAACCTGAAACAAGCTCCGGAGTTGCCTCAGAACTTTGTGTTTAAATTTTGGACAAGTATTTTTTTTTATCTTCGAAATGTTTTCGCTCCGGTGCAAGCCATCTGCGGTGAAGAAAAAAGCACGAAAATTAAAAAGAAATAATAAAAATACTAATAAAGCGACGCCGCGTTTCTTATCGACTTTGACGTTTCGGCTGATCCGCAGTTCACCTAAAAGGGAAACACTACGAATAGCAGCCACGAGTCGTTGAGCCGCGGTGACGGACTCTTCACCGCCCCCCGGTGGACAGACGGCGGTAATGCAGGGCGCGGAGCAGCGCGCTCTCTGCCGCCGCACTGTGGCTGAAACGAGGTACTGCAGAATGTTTGCTGTAAAATCTGACACGTGGCCCTCACTGTCCGAAAACAAGTCGGTCACTGTGGGTCAGTCTCAATCCGGCAGCTCTTGAGCCCTACGTAGTGAGCTAAATGAGGAGTCATACGTTTTACATAGTTTCCCAGTTCACCCTAGGGGCAATGGAGTAATAACTACACTAAATATTTGTTTATAAAAGTGGTGTTTGACATGTTGACGTTTCCATCTCCAGTTCTATGTATGTGTAGCTTTGTGTACACCTAAAGAAGGTGGTTCTTCAAGGGTTCTTGGGTTCTATTTCATTTGCATGCTAAATGGTTCTTTGCATGGTGAGAGGGTGTTGTATAATGTATGTGTGTGTTTATATATATAAATACATATATATATATATATATATATATATATATATATATATATAAAATTTATATATATATATATATATATATATATATATATATATATATATATATATTTGATCTTATTGATGTTGCAGGATCTTCCTTCCTTCATTTTATAATTAAAAATATATACTATTCTAGTCTAGTTGTTTTTATTCTGTTTGTTATAGAGCATCTGAATTACATCTGTAATTAAATAACAGAGCCTATTTATAGGACAGCCAGAGTGAATTTATATCCAATACTGTCCTCCTGTGGCACACATTTGTAATTACAACAAGCTCAATGCATAATATGGACTGAAGTATTGAGATACCTACACATTACACCCACAATAGCTTTCATGGCATCCCATTCTACATTCATAGGCATTAATATGGAGCTGGTCCCCCTTTGCAGCTATAACAGCTTCCACTCTTCTGGGAAGCTTTCTACAAGTTTTTGGAGAGTGTCTGTGGGAATCTTTGCCCATTCATCCAGAAGAGCATTTGTGAGGTCAGACACTGATGTTGGACGAGAGAGTCTGGCTCGCAGTCTCCGTTCTAGTTCATCCCAAAGGTGTTTGATGGGGTTGAGGTCAGGGCTCTGTGAGGGCCAGTCAAGTTCTTCCACACCAAACTCACCCAGCCATGCCTTTATGGTCTTTGCTTTCTGCACTTGGGCTCAAACTGGCTTAGCTCACTTGAACTAAGGATTCTAGGCCAACCCCTGAAAAATGACCCCATATCATTATCCCTCCTCCACCGAACTTTACAGTTGGCACAATGCAGTCAGGCAGGTAACGTTCTCCTGGCATTTGACAAACCTAGACTCGTCTACCAGATTGCCAGATAAAGAAGCGTGATTCATCACTCCACAGAATATGTTTCCACTGCTCCAGTGGCGGCATTCTTTACACTGCTCCATCTGACGTTTGGCATTGCGCTTGGTGATGTAAGGCTTGCATGCAGCTGCTCAGCCATGGAAACTCATACCATGAAGCTCCACAGTTTTTGTGCTGATGTTGATGCCAGAGGAGGTTTGAACTCTGCAGTTATTGATCAGCAGAGCGCTGGTGACTTTTATACACTATGCGCCTCAACACTCAGCGACCCGCTCTGTAACTTAATATGGTCTCTCACTTCCTGGCTGAGTTGCTGTGGTTCTTAAACACTTCCTCTTTTCAATAATACCACTCACAGTTGATCGTGGAATATCTAGGAGGGAAGAAATTTTGTGAACTGACTTGTTGCAGCAGTGGCATCCTAGTTCAGTACCACGCTCGATTTCAGTGAGCTCTTTAGAACGAGCCATTCTTTCACAAATGTGTGTAAAGGCAGACTGCATGGCTAGGTGCTTGATTTTATACATCTGCGACAATGAGATGGAATAGAACACCTGAATTCAATGATCAAGAGGTGTGTACCAATACTTTTGTCCATGTAGTGTATATATTATGTATATATTAAATTTTTTACAATATTTTTTGGATGGATTTTCACTAAATGAAATTTTAGTAATAAAATCTACATATAAAAATACACAAATATATAATACATTGAATTCAGGTGTTATATTCCGTCTCATTTTATACATCACAGATGTATAAAATCAAGCACCTAGCCATGCAGTCTGCATTTACACACATTTGTGAAAGAATGGCTCGTTCTAAAGAGCTCACAGAATTCGAGTGTGGTACTGAACTAGGATGCCACCGCTGCAACAAGTCAGTTCACATATTGAGTTCTTGGTTGCACATTTATTCATTGAAATAATGACGTTCAAAATTATACACACACTATTAATACATGCATAATTTGCAATATTTACCAAACATGTTTATATTTCCTAACTATATACATACAATTATAGTTGTTCATTCACAGCAACTCATTTACTGACTACTCTGTCATTCATAGCTGTATTGCTTGTATTGATAAGCACTGGTAACCTGTATTTTAGCCCAGCACTAATAATGAATGAAACCTAATGATTGTTTTCTTTGCTCTGCTGTTAAAGTCAGTGATAAGGCATGTTCTAAGTGTGATAAACTCAGTGGAACCAAAGTACAGGCCTAGCACAGCGACAGGCACTGTGCTTCAACACTGTTTTTAGCTTGCTCTCGCTAACTTCCCCTCACGACTCTGAAGTAAACACAAAAATACATCCAGCTGAGGTGGTGTTGAAGAAGTGATCATATCAGTGAGATGGTGGCGATTTCAATGAATGATTCAACAGCTTAACATAGTTTATTTCACACCTCCACTGCTTAGCTAAACGGCTAGCCTCAGTGAGCTAGCTAGCTAGCCAAACTTGTGATATAACCCCTTTTCTTTTTAGTGTCTGAGTGTAAAATACTTTAACCTTGTTTATAATTGAATTTTCTGGCTGAAGTTTAGGTTTTAAATGAGAATCTTGGTGTACCGCTCTTCTTTCTTGTCTTTTGCTTGGTGGTTAGCCCAGCTGCTCTTTCTGACATTTATTGTTATGCTTGAAAAGGAAATTGCGTCAGTGAGTTCTGGGCAAGTTCTGTTGCTCAAGTTTACATTGATGTTTGCCAGTCCAATGGATCATCTAAAGTCCACTGCACACAGGCTGCACCACGTATCATCACAAATCACAGCCGTTAAGATGGTGCTAGGCATTTAGCTGAGGGGAAGTTGTGAAGCTAAGTCAACGAGGGCACACTGAAATGAGGTGATGTATTAAATTTACTCAATTTAAATGTGCACGTCATTTCCACATGAATAAAATATACTACATCTACATAATTACTGCCAAAACCAATGTAATATATTTGCATTATTTTTTTCTGTGCATGCTATAAACAGTATTGAAGCTGAAGGAGGGAATGAGAAGGTGCTTAATGTACACTCGTCCAGACAGTAAGGAGGCCTGTGAGGGTCATAAGAGTCCAGGTGATTTGCAGAGAGTTTGCAGAGGACAGAGCTTTGGGCCTGGTGTAGATGTAAGGGTGCTCCTGTGATTTAAAAGGAGAAATGGAGGTGAATTTGCTGACTTTATGATATGAAATAATGAAGATACAAAAATGTTGTTTTTACCTCTGATGGACAGATGAGTTCTACTGGATCTGAGAAACTATCGATCATCTGCTTCCCATCAGCAGGCTGAAACTGCGAGAGAGAGAAATGATCAACGTAATGATGACAGTAATAGTCTTCTGTAAAGATATACAGTGAATATAGGACATATACAGCCAACGCAGTTTGTACACCAGCCACTTTATCGGCTTAGCTCCACCTAATTAAACATCTAAATAATGGACCTATAAGGCAGGTGGAGCTTATGAACTTGCCAGACAGTGAGTGGAAGTACAAGCTAGGTGCTTCTAACAAAGCAGCCAGTGAGTCGAAGTACAAGGTGGGTGTTTCCAATAAAGTGGCCAGTTTTGGAAGTACAGGGTAGGTGTTTCTAATAAAGTGGCCAGTTTGGGGAAGTACAGGGTAGGCATTCCTAATAAAGTGGCCAGTGAGTGGAAGTATGAGTACAAGTACACTCATGCTTTAAGTACAACAGTATGGGGTGAGGTCTTTTCTGTGTAATCGTGTTCGGTGAGAAATATTAGTAAGCTGCATAAAATATATGTTTTACCATGTTGTTCCAGAGACCCTTGGCAAGTTCCTCATGACCCTTGATGGTGAAGTGGAAGCAGTCTGGAGTGAAGAAACTCAGGTCGATTGTGCCGTTCTGCAACAAGCCACAAACACACATCAGAGCACTGATCAGTCATCCAGTGTCAGAAGCTACTAGTGGTGCATAAATAGTGATTCAACTGCATAGATTTTGTAATGCTATCAATCAATTATAATAACATTCAATAAGGCATACACTCATTTTATGGCCATGAAAGCCAAGATTTTGTACAATAATAGTACTGTATATGCTTATTATACTATAATATACATTTAGTACAATCTCTGAAAGTTAGATTGAACTGACCGCTAGTCTGGGTGGCTTGGCGTGGGTCAGATATGGCTGAAGGACCACTGCGAAATCCTCTTTGAAGAAATGGTCACTGTCCAAGAGCTCCTCCAGCTTCCTCTGACGAAAGACAACGCACACACACACACTTATACGCAAACCAATTACTATTTATCAGTGTGCTGCACATGCAACTTATTTTCACTGCTAACACAGACAAAATGCTCTTACTACTGTTTAAGAGGAATAGTTTGGTGAAAAATTACACAACCTCCTCTTACAATAGCCAGAATTAATGACAAAATTCAGGCTTTGTTAGTCTACGTTTATAGATAGCAGTATGTCAATAAAAGCAATAGAACACGTGAGGGAGTGTGTTATCATGAAATAACATCACGACTGTGATTTGGTTGCTGTGATTTTATAGCGATAACACATAACCTCGAGTGTTCTGTTGCTTTTATACAACAGTTAAATTAATAAAGTAAGAAATTAATAAACTGGGCCATGAATGTGTCATTTAATATGTTTTAATGTTCGCAGCTCCTTCCGCCAAATTATAGTTCCTTAACAAGAAGCTTGTTGCTACGTCAGAGTAACGAGCTCCACTCACTCTGCACAGTCAGCGGTTTGTTCTCCAGCTCCACACAGACCAACTAACAGTTTGGGAATTTAGTGTAGACTCATCCTCAGAGTCTGACCTAATCGGCTGTCGGTCAAATGTGATCTTAAAAGTATCCATTTTCTGTTTGTGCACAAAGTAAGACGTAAAAACGTTGAAATAGCTTGAGCATCTCCAACAGCTGTCAAAGTCGTTGCTTAGCAACAGCGTCTCATCGGAGTGATACAGTGTTTATGAAAAACCTGTAATGTTATGGCAAAATAAGCACGGTTAGAACGCTTCTCAACCAATCATCTTGCATGGCTGGAACTGCTGTATAAAGTGACATTAAACATGTCTTGGCTGATCGTTTGGAGTAATGTGGAAAAAGTTTTTCATTGAACTATTCCTTAATATTATAATATTAGTTACTAGCAAATGACTTGTAACAGTAGCAGAACACTTTATGTTGCTAAACAGAACCACTTTCTTTAAAGAACCCTATACCGTAGTTTTTCCTTCATACATTAGAAACAGTTAACCATGCAATGAACCATTTGTCTCTTCAAGTGAGTTGTCAAGGTTCTATATACAGTAACCATTATTTTTGCCCTTAAAACATTTTTAAAGGATGTAGGGTTAAATCTAAACTCTACTGGCTATATTGTGTACATGTTCAGTACTGCTGACGTTATATACAATACTTTATTAAAAATAGACAAAATCCTCCAAATGGTTGCTCTCTTTCTCGATCCCTGAACAAGAAACAGATGCCAAATATCTAACTTAACTCAAATTCAGGCTTTCTAACTTTAGCTACTGTGACATCATCCAAGAGAAAAAGCTTTTGATTGTCCTATTTTCCATAGGACTGAATTCAGTGCAATGGGGACCAAGAGGTTGACGGATTTTGTCATGTTTTTACAATAAACAAAACATTTCCAATTGGCTTATGCATCATATTTAATAGTATTGGACTTGTACACTATTTTAAGGCATACAAATACTACTTAACAGTAAGGATCCCCTTTACATTTCATCTAAATATGTAAAGAATTAGATTGAACTGCACACCTGGAATTGCTGGTTGACTTCAGCCAGCTCTGCCAGTTCAGTTGAGTTCTCGTCAGGCAAGACCAAACAAGAACAGAAACTTCTACAGAGAGAGAGAAAAATGTGTTATAGTAGCATCGCCCAGGGACAGCAACCCAACCCATTTTGCCTGTTACCTGTCCCAGCTCCTAATCATCCAATTGATTGTCTTTAAAATAATGACTGACATGCAGAGACATGGGAAGTGGGGGTGCTGAGGGGGCTGCAGTCTGATTTCAGGACTAAAAACAACAACAACAACAACAACAACAATAATAATAATAATACAGAGATCTGAACTTTTTAATAATTTGACCATAGCAAAGACTCATGTTTGCTTATTTTAGAGAGGAATTTGCACATTTTTTTCTATTTGTATTTACTTTTTCAAGATCTACAGTAGCCATGAACTAAGCTAACACTGGGTCACTTCCCTTGACAACAGCTGGCTTCTTTGGGGGTCAACACACGCAGGCTGAGGTGCAAAGTGATAAAGTGTGTGCAGAGATAGAGGCCAGCTCTGAACCCCAAAGCAGCCTAATACTGTTTTAAAACTTAAAAAATCTAAAAATCTAAAATAATATTTACCTTTTTTCAACTGCTATATTTCCCGTTCAGTGTGCTTTCCTGTATTAAATCTCACTGTATGACAGTTGGTGTGACACAACTGGTACGACATATCAACAGTCTGATTAGTTGTCCTTTAGTTAATTTGCATAAAGTTTGTCTAGAATGAGAGACCACAAAGAGGATGTGTTGTGTCTCTCACCTCATTTTAGTGCAGTGTGACTCGTTCTGTTTGATGTAAAGTATTGAAAAGTTTTAAATGGAAAAAAGGCAAATAATTTTGCATGAAATCATCGTTCACGTCACGTAAATGCTGCTTAAAACTTTAGCACCCCCAACTCAAAACAACTTCCCTGCTGAAATGCCTCGTATCCAATCAAAATCTAAACTAAATCAAATCAATCAAACAAAAACTTGCCTCTAAACGGTACTCCTTCCAATAAGCAAAAAACACCACATAACTCACTCTAACAAACCTGCAGTGAAAACGGCAGTGGCCAGAGTTATTGAGCTGAGAAATGTGAAAAGGTGTTTCTGAGGAACATTTAATTAAACATACACTATTTTGATCATCTGGAGTTAGAGCTGTTTTTATTTTCTTCCTGAAGAAGCTGAAAAAGTGGAAGATCAAACTTACAGCTACGTGAAAACAACGTCTAAAAATCAGACTAACCCTGGCTCCAAGGTAAGCTAAACTTTACCTCATTATTAAAAATAGACTGATCTAATATCTAATAAATCTAATACACATTTTAATATGATGTCTAATTACAAATAATGTTAAAAAGCAAAGCTGAGATCTGTTAGCGCCTGCATTTGTGATCAAAAACATTCGTAAAGGTGTATTAGGTGTAAAAATATCAAAACAAGGTACAGTTAAGCCACAGTTCACCACTGCTTCGAGTTCAAAACATCAATACATAGGCCACAGCCAACAGACAGCAGATAACTGATAAACAACAGCACTCATTTTACAAGCTCAGCGTTCTGTTTATCTCTCACATAAACCACTTGAACGTGTATACATTGTAAATGAGTCTCAGAGAAGACTCCTGTCTCAACTGCATGTGAAAGTAGCAATACAGATGCTACCAGGCTGTCTGAGCTGAAAGTGTGGCATGGCAACAATAACTGAGGGAGGGTGGGAGGTGGGCAAACCATCAAATATGCTGTGTATTACTGACCGATATTCTCAATGTGTGTGTAAGAAATTACTTTTGAAGTATGCAGCCCAGGTTTGGCTTCTTCACTTCTCTCAGAGGCTTCATGGTAAGGATCTGCACCACGTTCACGATCATTCGAGGAACCTTTCAGATGGAGAGACACATGACATCAATATTATGACATGTATTGTATAATATCAACTCCATTCTAACACTGTGGAAATGCAACGAAGATGCACAAAGTTTCATACTTTAAAACTACTATAATTCCAGCTTTCTGAAGGGTATTTTATATTAAAAGTGCTTAAAGTAAACTATTCTTGCACATGGATTAGGCCTAGTCCTTGACTAAGTGTTGATTGCCCAAAATGCCCTGTAGTCTTGCATTTGTGTACTTTTTTGTAGGACTATTACATATAATAATATAATAATGTAATTCTATGACATTGTCCATTCCTGCTTTATTTACTGTATTTTGATACAGAATAAGTGCATGACAAAATAAATACACACAAAATAGATAAAGAATTACCTCGTTCATCATCATCTCTAGAGACTCGGTGAGGTAGTAGATAAAGCTGTCAGGGGAAAATATTGTCTACAAACAAACAAACAAACAGTGTTTCTTACACTGAGATATTTCACATTGAGACAGATATATATATTAGAAGGCAGCTGCTAGAAAGCATTATTTGTCAAAACACTAGGTCAACTTGTTATTGATATTAATATATAGGCCATAAAAAACTGTCAAGCTCACTCACATGGTTTATGAAGATTTGTATAGTTCACACCTGATTCTAAAAATTGTTACAATTAATAAATGATAACTCATTTTATTTAAGGCAAGAAGTTTGCGAGAGTCAACTATTATAATGGAATATATGTATGAATTTGACTTATGTAACTACGCTAAACAACTTTTATTGATTCAAGTAATTACACAAAAGCAACTAACTACAGTAAAGTATTTTCTCAAATGTAAATCATGTAATTACTCAAAATTAACTCAGGTATTTACTCAAACATAAGTCGTTTAATTACTCAAAAGTAAATCATGTAATTACTCAAAAATTACTCAAGTAATTACTTAAAAGTACCTCAAATAATTATTCAAAAGCTCAAGCAATTACTCAAAAATAAAGTATTCCTTAAAATTAACTCGTGCATTTACTTCAAAATAACTCAAGTAATTAGTCAAAAATAAAATATTACTCAAAAGTAACTCAAGTAAATCAAGCAATTACTTAATTATAACTCACACATTTACTCAAAAGTACGTCAAGTAATTACCTAACAGTAACTCAAGAATTTACTCATAAGTAAATCAAGTACTTAAAACTGAATTATGCATTTACTTAAAAGTAACTTATCACGCAAAAATAATTTGAGCATTATTACTTGAAAGTAACTTAATTAATTACTCCAAAATGGAAAACATCTCAATGTGGTATTGAATGAAGGCAGTTGATGGTGAAAAGGCAGACTTACTTTGTCTTTACAATAATCACAGATGTCATTCATTCCAATTAAGATAGTCACCAACTTCCAGTCCTCTTCAAAATTCAAACCCTAAAAAGGTCAAAACACAAATAGCCTGTGTGTATCTAGTTATCTTAGACAGCTATGAAAAATTGTGTAAAGCTATTAATCTTGGCAGTAAAACACTATATAACATTAGAACAAATACTAATAACACCCTTAAAACAGTAAAACAAAACAGGATTTTTTAAAGTTATGAATATGTAGGTTAGAGGACCACAGATTTAGTTTTTTGCTGCTCTCCAGCCATCACATGGATTTGCACCTGATTTACTTTAATGAAAGAGTGATTATTTTGTACGTGTGCTGAGTTACTGAAGGTCAATAGGAAATAATCAGATCTTACTGGGTAGGTCTTGAAGGTGTCGATCAAGTTTCTGGCCTGTTCAGAGAAATTTCTGGAAAGAAAATAACCAGCGTGTCTCATCAGCACCTACAGTAAAAACCCCACTACAAAAACGTGTGACATGTTGAAACATCTATATTTAAAATGTTAACATGATAGATGATGCAGCAGCCCTGCAGTAAGATCAGTCTGCGTGCCCTTTTCAAAGGGCATTAAACATCTATTGCCATAATAACAGTAATTACAGTAATAACATGATGATATAATTCTTAGTGGTTTGCATTTAAGGTACAAAGTGCCACATATCAAGGTCATCACTGTAAATTCAAACCAACCTATTAACACAAAAGCATGTTCATCAACTGAAATACATATCAAATTAGTCCAGATGAAGTCCAAGTGAAAATAATATCCACTGACATTAAAACTAAAACAGTATAACAATGTTGTGGACTTATGGCCGTACTGGATCATTCCACGCTGCTCTGGACCGGTTACAGTTTCTTTTTCCATCTGTTGCACTGCTAAATCAGAACCAGGAAATACCCAAGATAACTTCACAAATGAGTGGCTAACCGCTAACAGGCTAATAGCCACGCACCCACCACCCACCACAAAACTGGTTTGATACCGTCTGTCACTCCAACTCCAGTCTATCGGCTGTTCTCAGATTCTTTATCCTCTAAACGGGTGTTGTTTGAGCAACTGTTACTGAAACAGCCTGTACTGCGGATGTAGCCGGATAACTACACTAGCATTAGCATCGGCCAGCGGGGTACAGCTCAAAGCGCCACAGAACAAGTCTAATTTTTATCTTTCTATCACTTCAACATCAGTCATTCAAATATTGTGCTATCAGATACCAGTCTTTATCCTTTAAACAGTAGTACGGTTAGCTAACCGTGCCGAAAAAAAGCTAGCTGAGCCTTGTTTTAAGTGTTCCGTGTCGAACCGTGTCCATGTGGAAACGCCACTGGAATGGTTTCCCTCCATACTCTGAACCGTTCGGCCCTGCAGTGGAAAAGGATAGCTGCATAACTGCTTACATATGAAAAATGTCATTCAGTTTTACTGTACTGTTTTCTAAATATTGCAGACTCACTCTGTACTAAGAATATGCTGGAAGGCCTAAAACCCATTGCAACATTATTGTAACTGCCCATACAAATAATATATTATTAAAAATATTAACATGTTGATTAAACGTGGTTGGTTTAGGGAAGCGTCAAATTAAAGCTTAAAACTTTAAACTCCAAAAGCATTTACAGTACTGTTTAAAAGTTTGAAATGACTATTATTAATAAGACAAAAAGTTGTTGCAAAGGCATGTCAAACATTTTTAGATGTGTCCAAAATTCCGAACAAGCTGTAGTTGTTTCCAATATGTAACCTATATTGCATGTTATTTTTGAATGATCATTGAATGTTAACGATTTTTATTTCATTAATTGACACTCAATTCACAATGCACAAACTGGTCATGTTCCTTGACCAATCCCAAGCTTCGAGCACTGTAGATATGAATATATGATGTAATACCCTTTTCAGACACTAGTAGGTAAACATGTAGCGCTCACACTGTGTTGTGTCCAGTGACGGCTAAATTGAAACCAGTCTCGTTAAGAGTTGTGGGGTAGTTGTGTAAGGTCCGCACCGGGGCCGGGCCCAGGACATCCGGGTTAAAAAGTTTCACAATGTCTGAAAAAGATAGTGAGAAAGATACATTTAATAGAATCCAGCGCATATGTAGCATATATATATATATATATATATATATATATATATATACAAAATATACAATAAAACCTTGTATCTCCAAAATGAGAACTTTACAGGAGAAGGAAAAACATACTTTTTTAATGTAAGTCAACAGAACCAGACATTTCTTAGAGTTATTTTGGGCTGTTTCCTTTGGTGCATTCATCATGAAATTTACACACAATGTAAAGGCCAACAGGCATTTTCATATTATGTCAAAAATTGAAAAACGACAAAAATGGAGATATGAAGTTTTTTGTTGTGACAGTAAAAATATATTTCTCATCTGAACAGTAAGAGTTAACTTTATTATCTCTAACATTATTATTATTATTATTATTATTATTATTATTATTCAATTCTATCTCAGTAATATCATATCTTACTGGCAAGAGTGATAACATCCTGATATGTTCCATGACCCCCAATACTGCAAAGAGGGAGATAAAAGCAGGTGATTATGCAAAAACACAATCAATAAAACGTCAGTTTATTATTATGACCACTGGCCTTAATTAGTCTGCAGAGGAGAGTGAATATATCCCCTATCAGAGTTACAGAGCCACACGATACAGTATAGACAGAGCATTGATAGAGTGAGAGAGAGAAGTAGGCCTGTGAGGATTTTGTTCTTACTCTTCATTTATTCAACTACAATCTGAATAAATATGAAATTATCCCCAGCACTGCTACTGTTTACTGTTCAGGGCTGGATCTCAACAGACAACAGATGATTCTTAAATAGTAGAGCGAGCACCACACTGAACACTGAATCTTAACACTGAGATGCTTTTGGGAAACTGGGACCAGATTATAACATTATATATTATAATATATGTATACGTGTGTTGTAGCAGTAGAGCTATATACTTCCACTTGCATTATATAGTTATCACAGAGTTTTGTAATGTTATATATCATATCACATATCATTAAAACCAGTAATCACTCCATCCCTATTCCCCAGCCACTTACTGCACTCAATACTGTGGCATTTTCACCACTAAACAACAGGTAGTTTCAGTGAGTTTTGTGGAGTTGATTCCAGATTGTTGGAGCTTACCTCCATGATACGTGACGATACTCAAATGGCACTCCCAGGAGGTTAGAAGCATTGGCCGCAATGGCAGTCTGACAGAAAGACGGCGAAAAGATTCAGTGAGTTAGCACCACTGAAGATACTGACTCTAGCACCAACAAATAAAATAAAATAAAATAAAAGGTCAGCACAAGTAGCAAAGTCTAACTTACTTACTTTCTGATATTGCTTAAGAGTAACATACAGAACATTCTAAATCAATTGCTCAGCCACATAATGACCCTTCCAAAACACTACTACTATGAGAAACACGATTAATGTCATATTATGCACACCAACATGATGGACCACATCTGCCAAAATGAAGCATAAATAAAATTATAAATGAAATTCAATAATAAATAATAATCTTTACATAATTTGCAGATAAATAGTCAATCACTATATGTGCGAATAAATGTAAAAGCCATGTTTTAATACTCTATGTAGTGCACTTATTAGGAAGAAGCCATTGAGCTGCTTACAGTCAGAGAATCTCCCAAAGCTGCGATGACTTTGATGTCCGCTGCTTTCACTCGCTCCACTGCAACACAGTCATGACACACAGGCTAAACTTAGAAACACTGATTAAAGGGATGTTTTGGCTAAAACTACTAACATAGTTAGCACTGAATGAACAACATAGGAGCACAAAACCTAGCAGTTAGCATTATAGTTATCATTTTTTGGTTAAAATCATGTTAAGATTAGTTATAGACTTGTAAGAGTCAGGTATAGAGATAAATGTTACCTGAGTCAGATATAGAGATAAATGTTTCCTGAGTCAGATATAGAGATAAATGTTTCCTGAGTCAGGTATAGAGATAAATGTTACCTGAAGCAGGTATAGAGGTGAGTTCTACCTGAGACTAATATATAGGGGAGTGTTAACTGAGGCAAGTATAGAGATAAGTGTTATCTGAGTCAGTTACAGAGGTGACTGTTACCTGAATCAGGTATACAGGAGACTACTAACTGGAAAAGGTACAGATATTACTGTTACCTGAGGCAGGTATAGAGGAGAGTGGTACCCAGATCAAGCATAGAGGAGAGTGGTATCTGAGGTAGTGAGTCCACTGTTACCTGAGGCACGGATAGAAATTACTGCTACCTCAGTCAGGTATAGAGATGAGTGTTACCTGAGGCAGGTATAGAGATGAGAGTTAACCTGGGTCAGGTATAGAGATGAGTCTTACCTGAGTCAGGTACAGAGGTGACTGTTACCTCAGTCAGGTATAGAGATAAATGTTACCTGAGACAGGTATACAGGGGACTATTACCTGAGTCAAGTATAGAGATGAATATTACCTGAGGCAGGTATAGAAGTGAGTGTTACCTGAGGCAGGTATAGAGATGAGTCTTACCTGAGTCAGGTATAGAGATGATTGTTACCTGAGTCAGGTATAGAGATAAAGGTTACCTGAGACACATATATCGGGGAGTGTTATCTGATTGAAGAATAGAGATGAATGTTACCTAGGGCAGGTATAGAAGTGAGTGTTACCTGAGTCAGGTAGAGAGGTGAGTGTTACTTGACACTGATATGGAGGTGATTGTTACCTGAGTCTGGTATAGAAATAAATGTTACCTGAGACAGATATATAGGGGAGTGTTACCTGACTGAAGCACATACATGAGTGTTACCTGAGGCAAGTATAGAAGTGTTACCTGAGGCAGGTCTAGAGATAAGTGTTACCTGAGTCAGGTATAGAAGTGAGTGTTACCTGAGTCAGGTATAGAGGTGACTGTTACCTGAGGCAGGTGTAGAAATGTTACCCGAGGCAGGTCTAGAGATGAGTGTTACCTGAGGAAGGTACAGAAGTGAGTGTTACCTGAGGTGGGCACGGTGGGGGAGGGGCTCATGTCTGGACATTGGAATGGAGGGTGCTGGAAGCTCTGGGGCTGAATTTTTCCTGGTTGCTCCTGCAAGAATCAACATGTTATTTCCTGTCTGCAACCCACAGCCGCTTAAAATGGCAACTCAGTCACAAGAGCCATAATTGAAAGAGTATAAAGTGGCAAAGCAAGGAAGACAGAGGCAGAAGTGTAGTTTGGTAATGCCAATTTTGTTGCAACAGATTTCCTTTCTACTGTTGGTCCACATCATACAGTAAACTGTAGCAGTGCACGCACAGCTAATTTCATACCTAACTGAGCTCTTCCTGACTGTAGTGTTTTAAGGCCTCTTCATATTCATTCCACCAGTCTCCTTTAGGACAAACAAGAACAAAACATACACATAACAAATTTAACAGACTTTCACAGAGGCCAGAAATGTTGAAACGTGGTCAAAAACAAGAAAAAAACGACTCTAGAACAATGCTACAGTTTACTGTATAATGCGTCTGCTAAATGCTGTAAATGTAAATGTAAATGCTAATTTCTACTAGTGCCCCTATGGAATTCTAGTATTATGTTAGCACTAAGCTAATGCCAATGCGTATGAACATTTTTGGTCATTCTAGTTTAAACCAGAACATTGAAACCTTGTAGATTATGTTCTACTTGAAGCTTGTAATATATTACCATATATTTGTAGCTTTTGTGTATCAGTTTTACAGTGACTTTTTCAGTAAATAGCCCTGACAGAGCTGTCACTGCTGTTTTCCTTTCCTAACTAACCAGAATCTGCTATAATTACAGTCAGTGACATATCTAGAACTTCCAGAAGGTCTAGAGTGATGTTTTTCCCACCCACTGTAAATCAAAGTGTGATTGGTTGATTCCTCTGCTACTTCTTGATTATGAGTGTTATGAGAAAAAAAAAAGAAAAACTGGCAAAATGGCTGCAGAAGCAACCAAAGAAACCCACAAATGAGGCTATTATCTCCGTTAAAAATCACAATAACCATTGTATTATTTTTGTTTTATGTCATTTGAAAGTATTATGGTCCTTTTTTTTCAATATAAGACTAAAAACTTGCTTGGAGTATCCTCATGTCTCGGTAGCTATCTAGCTAAATTTCCTGTTCCACCTTAAATGGTGCAGCAGCTCTGATGCCTGAAGCTCCAGAATGTAACTGCTGCTCCATTTAAGGTGGAATGGGAAAATTTGTTATATTCGAGATATTCGGCGAATATCTGACTTCAGCTTCACTTCACTGAAGAATTAGGGGCAGGCAATAATAAATAATTGTTGTGTCCCCCCTCTTTGTATGCAAATGATTCCCTAAATTACACTAAAGACCAGCAGCAGCTTTACTGCTCCTCTGCTATCACTGCAGACTGGCAGGGTTGCCTACAGAGCAGCGCTAGTAGCCTGTTAAGAGAGTAATGTTCTTTATTTGAGGGTCCCATTTCGTAGAGGATGGTTTCAACCACTACCCTATGTAACTCAGTTTCAGGGGGCAAGGTGACCCTCAAAAACAAGGGGTAGGGGTATAAGAATTGGGATAGAGGCAAGCTCCTGAAGTCTTAACCAATAGGAGAGCTTACTTGGCTGCATCTACCTAGATACCACAAAGAAAATCAACAAATCAAGAGTATTATTACCATATACACTCATTTTCATTGAAAAATATTCCATCTTATGGAATCTTATGAAGACTAGTTCATTTTCTGATGGATTCTTTGGCACTAACAACATTGTCATTAGATGTAGAAACATTCAGTTTTTTCTCTATGCATAAATGAGTGAAACTCATTGGAAGACATTTGTGTCAGTTGACAACTTTATGCTGTCAGTTTTTAAGGTAGTAATACTACGGCTACTACTATTATTATTAACAACAATAACATTGTTTTATTTATATAACACCTTTCCAAATCTTAAGGTTGCATTACAGTGCATCAAAAACAAGGCCAACAAGTGCATGAATATCACAAGAAAAACAAAGGTAAACAAGGTTTCAAATGAAAAACAACACCAAGCAATACCCAACGAAGATGCACAGTAGTGAGAGTCATGGGTAAAACAAGAAAAAGAAACAAAACAATAAATACAGGTCAGATACTCAGTAGAAAAAAAACATGACACGCTTTCAGGTCAGATTTGAAAGAGGAGATAGGTGAGAAGTTTCTACCAGAGTGATTATCACAGTTTGATCAGACATGCAAACAAATTACTAATATTTGTTGAAAGATAATCAAACATCTGAAGCATCCAGCCTGGTCCTCATACACATGGACTAGTCTGCATGATTTTCACTCACCATTTACACAGCACAGGAGAACATGTGTGGTGACGGCCAGTATGAAAAACTTCATGATTTCTGATCCTCTGCGTCAAGTATAACTATCTGCATGGAGTCTCAGTGTGCTCTTCAGAGACGGCTCATCTACTGTGACCATTTATCAGCAACACCCTCTGTTTAATCTGTAATGATAAAATATGCCTGGCTGAGGGCCATTAAACATGGCAAAGTGCAGAATGATAGGCAGATAATCATTAGTGAAGATAATAGGCTGAAATAGCCTAAATATACCGGTGCAAGTTCACTTTTTGTACCTCCTGGTGGTGCTTATAGAAAGTACAGCCTCTACATGCACTAGTGTATATGGGTGAGTGTGGAAGAGAGAGGGCAATTCCACCAATTTTTCAAAATGTCTGCATAATTTTGACATTGACTGCAACACAAAAAAAGCCATTTTATTTAAAATCCAAAACCACCAGTGAACCTACACGTGTCTTCTGAGTTTTAAAAGTAGATGATGGTAAAAAGTTGATGATGGTAAAATAGTTGATGATGGTAAAATAGTGATAAATCTGAAAAAATAAGTTTTCTTTGGGGACTATTTTACCTTACAACTCCTTGCATATATCCCTCCACCAAAAATATGTTTACAAATATGCTAGACCACAAAACTTTCATAAAACTATATCTCAGGCAGTATATTCATAACTATTTTATGTAATAACCTTCTATGATGCTATTATATTAAAATTTCTATCTTAAAGGAACTTCTAACAAAAAACAACAAAAAATCTGCATATTTGAACTGTTAAGATGTAAACAAAGTCATTTAGAGTGGACTGGCGTGAAATGCTCTGTTCTAGAGAAACTTACAGAGCCAGAGTTGTTCACAATGGTGGTGATAGGAACCAGACGTCCACCTCTAAAAGCTCCCTCACAGAAAGTTATTACATGATCTTTCAGCTGTATATCTCAATCTATATTTAAATACTAGATCTAAAAGCTGAACTTAGCAACTGAATACAGGCATCTTTAATAACCCTAACATCATCCAAAACAATACATTGAAAATAATGACAATGGCAAAGTAAATACTTTGAGATTTGGGCAAGGCGGTCCTTGGAGCAAAATTACTTAAAGCTCATTAAAAGGTTAAAAGATAACTTAAATAATTGACTGTTAAAGACAATAAAGGGCCAATAATATATATAGATTCTGAGTATGAAATTCTGAATTGGACAACATATACAGGGAGGAATCTGAAATAAAGCTCAAATATCTAGAGTAAACATACTATGAATCACAAGGGCTTCTGCAAAAACAACAGACTTGAAATGCCATTTACAAGATAATAAATCCACAAACAGGCATGATTTCACATAATCCAGATGACATAGAAAGGGCCCTCTTATCTTATTATAGAACACTCTATTCACAGACAACTCAGGGAAACCCCCCCGACTGTTAAGGTGTTTCTTGATACCTTGGATCTGCCATCAATTGGGACACACCAAAATGCATTATTAACCGAGGAAATCACAGCAGGGGTTAGATTATAATTAATAATTTAATAAAATAACAAGACCCCAGGAAGTGATGGGTACCTTGCAGAATAGTTTAAGATCTTGAGGTGTGAAATTTGACCACTATCATTATCCTCATTTAATTGGTCTCCTAAGGAAGCAGATATCCCTCATCCCTCATAGGCATCAATCTCAGACGTCCCTATAGAAGGAAAAGATAAAGAATTGTGCAGTTCATATAGACCAGTATCCATTCTGAAAGTGGATTATACCCACTCACTAACTCTTCATTTAAGCCACTCATCCTCCTGGGTCATGGGGCAGGGGATCCTCCCTTAACCTCAGTAACCAAAAGATCAGCTTTTTGACCATCCTAGGACAGGACGATGACCCTACAAGCCTAGCTGAGTTGTAGTAGCAAAAGGACTACTACCAGAGAGGCAGGCCCTGTTTACACAAACCACCTCAGGAGTGCTGATCTAGAATCAGTTTTTGAGGAATCAGATCTGAGATCAGTTGTTTAACTCTGGGTTGAGCTCAGCTTACTACTACTATCCAATACTACTGCATGAAGCTGGACACTACTAGCTAGTCCTTCTTTCTCTTACTGAGAAGCCAACTTTTAAATTTAGCTCAAATACTTAAATTTCTTTACCAGAAGGTTTGATGTACTAGCTTTGGGTTGGCAGTGTTGTATTTGTAACTGAATAATTACAATACCTACATTACAGAACAAACAAGATTACATGATTAAATAACACAAGTAAAGAATGGATATTTGTTACATGTAAAACATATATATTACAAAAAAGTCCGCATAGCTTTCATGCTTTTGTTTTTACATTCTGGCGGAGTCTGCAAATGTGCCTTTAGATCTAAACCAAAATGTGTAAATGCAGGATTTTCTACACCATTTTCATTTTTATTCATTCATCAATATTAATTAATTGAATCAGAAAACATGCATTTGGAATCTTTTCAGCTGGGTTAAACATTAGGATAATACATATTGTTCATGAGACAATGTTTAATGTTATCAGCCATAAAATTAAGCCCACTACATTTACATCTGTCCATTTTATCAGCTCCACTGACCTTATAGTTTCACACAATTTTAACTTGCAAATGATTACTAATAACATTTAGTAATTTAATTACTCACAAAAGATGTTTTCAGTGAGGTAACATATTGGCCTGATATTTCTTTCCTTAAAAAGGTGAGATTTTCTACCTCATGTTTTATCTATACTTGTGTAAGAAATCCAGAATGTTTTTTGTTACAGGACATGACCGAAAAAAAAACTAGATGTTGCTAGTTTCATATGGAGCCCATAATGTGACAAGGTGATTTTTTAATAAAGCATAGCCACAGATTAATATATTGAGACCACAATTTACTATATTGAGACAACAATTTACTATATTGAGGCCACAAATTACTATATTGAAGCCACAACATACTACACTGAGGCCATGACTTACTATATTGAGGCTACAAAGTACTATATTGAGGCCACAAATTACTATATTGAGGACACAATTTATTGTATTGAGGCCACAAATTACTATACTGAGGCCACAATTTACTATATTGAGGTCACAATTTATGACATTAAGGCCAAAACTTTCTATACTGAGGCCATGAATTGCTATATTAAGGCCATGAATTACTATATTGAAGCCACAAATTAATATATTGAGACCGCAAAATAATATATTGAGGCCACAAATTACTATTTTGAGGATACAAAATTAATACATTGAGGGCATGAAGTAATATATTGAGGCCACAAGTTATGAGAAACTGAACTTGTAGCCTCGATTATTAATTTGTGGCCACTGCTTATTATATATGAATCACCATGTCACGTTAGGGGCTCCGTACTTTAATAATTTAATTACTAAATTAATAAATTGAGGCCACAAGTTATGAGAAACTGAACTTGTGGCATTAATTATTAATTCATGGCCTCAATATATTAATTTGTGGCCTCAAAATAGTAACTTGAAGCCTCATATGTTAATTTGTGGCCTCATATATTAATTCCTGGCCACTGCTTATTAAAAATGAATCACCGTGTCGTGTTAGGGGCTCCGTATTTAATAATTTAATTACTCACTAAAGATGTTTTCAGTGAGGTTACATATTAGCCTGATATTTCTTTTCTTAAAAAACTGCGACATTTTCTACCTCATGTTTGATTTATATTTGCAAAAGAAACCCAGAATGTTTTTGTTACAGGACATGACCAAAACATGATGTTGCTAGTTTCATATGGAGCCCTTAATGTGACAAGGTGATTAATTTTTAATACGTCATAGCCACAAATTAATATTTTAAGACAACAATTTACTATATTACGGCCACAATTTAATAACTATATTGAGGTTACACTTTACTACACTGAGGCCACAAATTACTATATTGAGGCCACGAAATAATATATTGAGGGCACAAATTACTATTTTGAGGATACAAAATTAATAAATTGAGACCATGAAGTAATATATTGATTCCGTTATCAATCCATATATCAATTTGTGGCCTCAAAATAGTCATTTGTAGCCTCATATGTTAATTTGTGGCCTCGTATATTAATTATTGGCCACTGCTTATTAAAAATGAATCACCACGTCACGTTAGGGGCTCCGTACTTTACAAAAAAAAGTACAGTTATCATTTTTATTATTTTTCAAGAATCTTTGCAGTTGTTAGGTCCTGGCAACCCTGCCACCCAATTTGGCAGCCACGCCCCCGCCGCGCGCGCCACGTGACTCGGTGGGCTGCGGACGCGCCGTGGCTCGCGCTGAAGATGGCGGACGGAGCGGAGGCGGAGTGGAGCAGCCCGGCCGAACACGACGCCTTCTGGGCCATGGAGAGCCTGCAGGCCACGCTGCAGCAGCTGGAGGCCGGGCTACGGCACCAGGACGTGTCCGAGGAGTCCTCAACCGAGTACTGCGACAGCTTCTGCCAGGTAACCGTAACGGGAGAGAGAGAGAGGGGGGGAGAAAGAGAGAGCAGGAAAGAAGAAGAAGAAGGAAAAAAAAAAAACACAACAGAAACGGTGCAGAGAGGCGGCGGAGGAGGGTTTCTGTTTGTGCTGTCAGCAGCGCGCTCCCGTGCGCGTTCATGGCGTTCATGCATGCGCTGTATTGTGTAAATATGCGTTAGTTTAGTTCGCAGAGCGTCTCTGGTCAGATCTGCGCGTGTTTTATTTATTTAGGTAGTTGCAAAGCCAAGGCCAGGCAGCCTCCTGGGTGGGTTGGAGTGCGTGTAGTTGGGAAAGACCTTCAACCCCCCACCCCTCCTCACCCCCGTCCGTGCAAACACGAAGCTGAAGTCAGCTTCTTATGCCAATTTTCCCGTTCCACCTTAAATGGTGCACCAGTGCTGCGCTATTTAAGATGGAACGCGACAATTCTAACGAGAATAGGAAGCCAACTTAAGCCTCGTGCAAACTACCTTTGCACTGAAGGAAGCGGTGCGCATTAGCTTTCAGTTCTGTTTCCTGGCTTTCCTTCATGTCTGTGTTAATCAGCCTGTGCACACAGTCTTATGATTGTGAATGTGTACTTTGTTCTTTCTGGGGGTCTCGTTTGTAGGGGCTTCTCCA